CCGTGATACCAGCTCATCCTTTGGCCATGGGAAATCAGGTGACACTCCAGCCCTTCATTCCCCTTTATTTTTGCTTTCTTATTTTCCCCTTTCTGGAAACAGTCTGATGTCCTGAGAGAGTGCAATTCACACTTAACTGTTAGCAGTAGGTCCAGTGCTTACTTTAATTGCAGTGGAGTCATGTAAAAGCCACTATAGGTTTAAAAGAAAAACAAAACTTCCACTAAGGAAGATGTTGAAAGTACCTGTAATAACTGTAATTTTTTACTACTATTTTTATTGGTTTTTATAGCAAAATACATCAATGCAAGAGCTCAGGTTAAGGTCCTGTGTACCATAGACTGCAAAGAAGATTAAATCCTCTAAAAATGGGAAAAAATAGGGCAGAATAGGAAAATATTATTCACAGGCACCGAGACTGGCACCAAGAAAAAGCAGCAGATACCAGACCCAACATGGAAAATAGCTGATACTCCTTCAGATGTGTCATGTGCCATGAGTCACTGTATGCAGAGGACCCCTATTAAGAAGAGGCACCATGCAGCTGCACTGTTGTGCTCCGTGTTGCACAGCTGCTCCTCCCTGCTGCTGGAGACAGCTCTGTGCTGGATGGAGCTTCAGCCTGGCCATGTGCTGCTGCTCTTACCCTTCCTGTAGAAAGTAGCATACACTTATACTAACTCTGAGGACTTACATTTGCAGCATGTGAGACAGGCAAAATGGAAGAGGGGTAAAGTTTTTTTTCAGGAAGAATTGAGCAAGGGGCTGTTCAGTGTCACCCAAGTATTTGGTGTCACAGCTGGGAGCTGAGTTAAGGTCTGGAGTCCCCTTCAGGTTCTGAGTTACAGCATAATGCTTTCCCCTCCATTAGCCACCAAAAATCTGTGAAGCAAAAGCAGAATTAATGGCACTGAGTTGTCAGCTTCAGAAGTGTCTGTTTTTCCATGGAAACCTCTTCCCAGCAACAGCCAAGCTTCTCATTGTGAGGGAGCTGTCAGGCAGCTGTTCTGTGCAAAATGCTGTAGCTGCAGCTGCTTTCCGGAGAAGTCTCAACCCATGGCCAGGCAGCACACAGCCCCATTCTCAGCAATCCAGCTGTAATTCTTCCTGCCTGGTAATTTTTCACAGTGGTCATGCCAGAATCATTGCCTTGTTTTCTCTTGTCTGGCTGTTAGTGGTGATGTATGAAGAAGTAAGAAAGACAGCTTAATTTTCATAAGCTAACTTGTGCCTGGAGTAACAGAGAGTGAGAGGAGTGCACTTAATCATAACTGCAGGACCAGAACAGAAAATGATAGAGCTTTTTCTGTTAGTTGTGGTATTTTATTATAATAACTCTTAGGAAGAAGAAACCAGCAGCTCAGAATGCTGAAAGGTTCAAATCCATTACAGCAGGCACCGTGTTCTCATCTGCTGGAAGAATAGCTCACATAACTCCTTTATGCTTGCCTTTTCCAAAAGGCCGTGCTGGGAGGGACCTCTAGTCTATGCTGCCCAGAAAAGCTGAATTCAGACTGATGTAAGATGAGAGGTGAAGTGAACCTGGTGATATTTCCTGCAGAACTGTGAGCACCTTGCAGGGGAGGCACAAAGGGTGGCAGAGGGACAGGCTGGCTGTGCTCAGAGAGCTGTTCAACGTGCCTCATGTCTGTAACTTTGTGATGCACTTGAAAAAGTAAATAACTAAATGAAATAGCTGGTACTGGACAGCTATTCTCACAATGACTCTTTAAAGAACAAAATTGCATTAAAACACTGAGTGAAAGCTTTTTAGTGAATTTTTAGTTGGTTGCAATTGGAAGGACACAACTTGGGATTTTTTTTTTGTTTGTACTTTGAGATACATAATGTATCTATATATGTAGTCTATAGAGTATATATTATGCATCTGTATTATATGTAACATGAGGATGGTTCTACATTCTTAGATGTTATTTTTATATCTTCAGATCAAAATATTTGGGGAATGTCTTCCAGAAAATATTTCTGATTTTCTTTTTTTCTGTATTGATTCAGAATGAAAACCTTTTTGGAAACATTAATATTTACTATGCAGCTGAAGTTCTATTTTCTGGATTACTTCTGCCTTAAATCAAGATCACAGAGACAATATAAAGGGAAATAAAATTTATTCTTTAGCAAGACAGCAACACTATTCCAGCCTAGAGAAAATAGAAATATAACTAGAGAAGATGGAAAGCATATCTCCATAATTTTCTCCAGGGTGGCTTGGGAGACAAGCTATCACATCTGCCTAATAGGCTTTTATGCACCAGTAAGAGTTACAACAGCCTGACAAGTTGCATAATGCTCTACCCTAGGACAGTGTGTGAATGTGTGCACATTCCCAGGCCATTGCAAGAGCACACCAGAGCATGGTAGCTCATACATTTTACTGTGTGTTTGTGACAAGCTAAGAGGGCATGTACAGGCAGTTTTTCCAGCTCAGTTGATACACAGTAAGTCACATTATCTGATCCATGTATCTGAGCCTTAAAGCTTACATGATGTTCATTTCTGCCTTTGTTTGTGTCCCATACGAAACCTCAAGGAGTACTGGTGAAAGTGAGGTTTTTTCTGGTGTCATCAAAAATAAAGGGAAAATACAGAAAGAAATTATACAGCTACAGTAAATACATGCCAACATAATTTCCTGAACCTTTTTTAGTTTATCTTGGCATGAGAAATAATAATTGAGAAAAAAGTATTTCAGGGGTAAGTTACTGGAACTGAGATTTTGGACTGGTACGTGGGAAATGAAAACCATTGACAAGCATTAAGGTTTCTTCATTTTTCCTTATCCATTGGTTTAAAGGCTGAAGTCTGTAGCATGTTGGGAAATCCATGAGGCTAAAATAATGAAAGCAGATTGATGCTCCGTGGTAAAGAAGTTTGGTATCTGCTTCTTGCAAATGGAATTCTGACATTTCTTTTGCTGGTAGCTGTACTATCCTGAGAAGGATCGGTGGACTGCTGGGTTGTGAAATGTGCTGTTAGATTATGGACAGGGTCAGTCTCTTCCTACCAGCTATGCCAACCCCTTCCAGCCCAGCTGCACCTGTATTTTCTATTGGTTTGTTTTTTTTATTTCTCTTCATCCCTTATTAGCCAGTGTTTCTTATCTTGATTTATTCTACTTCAGCTGTAAGGGAGTGGCTATAAACAGGCAGACTTCCAGCTGGGAGTCAGCAAGTGTTGGCTTAAATTGTGTCCTTCGGCCTCTTTTTGCCTTAGGCTCCTTTCAGCCAGTTGAGATCCCTTTCATATTTCCTCACAGTATATGGCTTGTGAAGTCTGATGTGCTGTCCAGAGTGTCCCATGTGTCTCACAGGTTGAGAGATGCTGTCATTTATCTATATGAACAGAGCTGCTTAGGATGTGTTTGCCTCTGGCTTGTGATTGCCTTCACTTGCTTGTGCATTGCACTCTGTTAGTATTACCAGTTTTCAGTAGCACTATTGGGTTTGATATGATCCTTTTGCTCTCTCCTAGCTTTTCCACCTTCTTTAAAATTTATTTATGGGATCTAACATGAAAAATTGTATATACTGTATAATAAATATGTAAGGGAATAGGAGATACATCACTGGAAAATAAGGTGAGGAGTATTATGTTGTCATTAGGATGATGCTAGAGTGGTGTGGAGCGGATTTGTTAATCTCTCAAAGTTATTTTTAGATTGATTTCCATTCACTTCTTGAAAAATTTCCTAGTGTTCTGATTGGTTTTTTTATATGCATTGACCAATCACTGCTGCTTACACTCTTTGAAACAGCATTCAAGACACATTGAGGTTACTGACATTCCACTGAATTGCAGATACCACAGGAGAGTGTATTGCAATCACCTTTCAAACCAGTTATAAAATTGAGTTAATCATATCTGTCTCTGTGTCTTGTTCTCAGCCCAACCTTTGTGTTGGACCATACTGAAATAGCTGTGGTTTTATGTAAGCAACATACAATGGTCATTTCAGGCTTGCAGTGCACTGCTGTGACAATACACACAATTTTACAAGCATAGCTGGGATTTGAAAATGAGCCTTCAAAGCATGATGCTTAATTGCTTTCTCAAAAGATTGCAAAATAATTTCCAGTACTAGTCTCAGTGCCCTCACTGAGCATGTCCCTCTTTCAAAGCACCATTCCTTTTACTTTCTCTGACTAGATCGAAATGCAGTCCTCCCCTTCCCTCCATCCTCCATTACCACAGCATCCTTTCAATCACTTCTCTTATTTACATTTTATACACCACATTTTAGGATACATAATTAAGTCCTTATCTATACAAACATTCATTTCTCGGTTGATTTTTAAGCAGTGCAAACCTTCTAGACACATTTGATTTAAAATACATTTTACTCTAGCTGAAGCCAGCTGCTAATCAATGCAAGATAAACTGAAATAAAACTGAAGTCGTAATTTCTATGCAGCATTCTACACAGGCTCACCCAAATGACTTCTAAATTACTCTCTTAAATTAAAACAGTGCAGCTTTCTTATGTAGGTAAACTTTTCAAATCCAGTATTTTTTGAAGCAAAAGGGATGTGTCACTCTTTTTTCTCAGTCACTTTTTGTGACATTGAGCCTTATTCTTCAATTATGTTATCTCCATCAGAGTATGAACAGATCTTCATATTAGATGATCATTTTACCAACACTTAATTCTCACTAGGAGGATTCTCCATCATTGTATTCTAAAATCAAGCAGCATTCAGATTTGTCTGGATGACATATTTCTGTCAGCGTGACAAAGGTTCCCACAGTGTTTAATTACTCAGGCTAGCCAGGGAAGAAATGAGCCATGCTGAATTTCTGTTCCAGGCCTGCTTGTCTGTTGCATAAGCTGGCTTCTTCTGAAGGCATGGAAGGAAGGAAGGCAGCACCCCATCTTCTGCCTTCTCCTTCCACTGGTTGTGCCTCTCCAGATTTCCTGTGTTTTTTCCATTTATTGACTGTCTTATATCTTATGATATTCTTGCAATTTGCTCATTTTCCAGGGCAGCAAGTTCTTGGCTTGGTGGAGAACCAGAGTGATTGGTATTTGGGCAATCTCTGGAAGAACCATCGGCCCTGGCCTGCGCTTGGGAGAGGCTACAACACAGGTAGGACCTGAGGGTTTGCTTTGAATTAACACCTGCAGTCAGTCTCCTGGTACAGAGAGTATGAGATGCCGTAACTGGCACCTCCCTTCCTAAGCTACAGCTAAATTTGTCTTTCTGAAAAGGAAAAATGATGCAATGTAATGCATTTTGGAATTTCTGGTCTTCTCTAAATGGTGTTAGAAAAGATTGTGTGATATTCTTGGGGAGGACCAGAGCTTTTTAGCAATCTGACAGATCCTCAGCACATCTCCTACAAGATTTCTGTCCACAATGACTTGTGACTTGTATATAGGCCCAGCAAGAGGGAGTGAATAGGAGTTGATAGTTTTATGTAGAGAAATAAATGGTATCACAAAATGTGAGCCAAATAACCCCTGCAGGACACCAACTGGGTCATAATTGTCCTAAGAAAATGCAAGCTACTGGCCTTCAGTTTCTGCTGCCATGAGAAAGGAATAAAGGCACTAGATCAGAGAATTTATTAGGTTACAAGAGACAGATCTTCCCACTGATTTGTGTTTGGTATGTGAGAAAACATACCAGGTGCATACAGAACACACACATACACCTAAATCATTTCATTGCAGGCCTTTAAATGCTGATGCAGTGAGTTCAGTTCTCTCTCTCTTTGTAATAAAAGGGCAGAACAGATGGTGAAGCCTCCATTTGGAACAGATGAGTCCATTTAAATATCCCTGAACTATCAGGAAATTACTCACCATAAAAGTGATTTTGCTTCACAGAAATAGATTGGATTAAATTAAACAGACTAACTAGAAAAAGGATTGAACAAGTTGTGTGGTTGGGTCATCTGTATTTCTATATTCATATGTATATTTGTGGGAATCCCACTAGTTTTTGTGAATGTGTAGTTTAGCCTCTGCAGAGCATCTCTCTGGAAATGTTCAAAAGAATAGCCTAACAGAGCACAGATTGGTGTGGAAACAAGATGTTGGCAGAATAGGTTTGTTTCCTAACTCTTTTTTGCCAGAATTGCAAATAGAAAGGCTAGGTCTTCCCACCCCTGTTCCCTAGCCCCCTCAAAGCATGAGACAGAGATAAGTTTCATGGATTTTTCCTGAAATCTGAAAGCTTGTGTTATACACAGTTGAACTTGTTGGTGTCAATTCAGTTCTCTGTTACACCACAAAACAGTATCTTTTGTTCTACTGAGAAATGACCACCTTCTATAGCTACCTTCTTTCTGCTGTATTTTTGCTTTTTCCTTTCTGCCATTCTAATGCTGGCAGAGAGAATCTGGCACAACCACATAAGATCAGAATAATGCAGTAATGTATGGTGGGTAGTATAAAATACATATATTTATATCTAAAATGCTAACGTTAAAAAAAATCTGTAAGGCTTTAACTTATGTTGTCTTAACTTACTCGTCCAAATGGTTTATAGGAATACCAAATGTCAGTATCACATAAACCTAACACTGAAAGCAAAAATAATCAAATATCTGCAGTCCTCCACATACACTGCATGTGTTTATTCTTGTATTAATACATATCTATCAAGCCATGCAAAATCCCATAATCCTGCACAAGATTTTTTTTCCTCACAATTTCTTTCTTCGCACAACTTACCTTGTACTTATAAAAACTCTTTTTTTAGAAAGAAAACCAGAAGGTAGATAATGTACGGAAGATTGACAAGTGATCATAAGAAGTGGAATGTTGTTTTTTCAAGGATGTGGAACAAGAGGTCACTGAGTGAAACAGTGCAACCTCTGAGAAGTAGGAAACGAGGTTATTGACAGAATCAACACCCTTTAATATAAATTCCTTGATTGAATTAATTGTTTGCCTCAGTAATCTATCAGAGACTGGAGGTATACATTTCTCAGGGAAGATGAGACTGGCTCTTGTGTAATGGGTTCAGTAAATAAAAATAATTGACACTGAACGCAACGGTGTGGCCAAGGAGGACTCAGAAAACTAAAGCAGGGGGACTCCGAAAAGAGGGGCAGTATCTCTAAGCAAAACACTCATGAAGGCAGCAGTCCAGGAGGGGGAAGGCATGGAAATCAGTGCCTAGAGCTGTACTTAGGAACTCCGAAAGGGCCCCCAAACCCCTGAAACTTTAATGAGCTAAACAGAGCTGGATCATGGGGAGGCTCTCAGACAGACTTTGCTCTTGCTCTTGGGAGAGTATTTACTACAGACCTAGGATACAATCCTAAGAAAAGAGATTTTTATGTGAGCCTCTTCAGCCAGACCTAACCCTGGCAGATTTGATTTTGAAGCACCTCTCAAAGTCAAAAGTGTTCTACTGCTCCTCACAGTTTCTGAAGATAATTTCTCTTCCACTCTTATCTTTCTATGCCTGAGCCTCTCTGGACAACATATAGGTTGGGGGAGTCCCAGAAGGCAGGTGTATTAAAGGCAAGGATATGTTTGTTCCTTCTTTGCTGGTTCTTTAAACCCAGTAAGCTTTTGCACTCCTCTCTTCCTTGTATGCCCAGGACAGATCTCCTGACGGCCAGTACAGATTTTCAAGGAAAGATTTTATTTGGTTGTTTTTCATTCTTCCTCATTTGCACAGGCAGATAATCCAAGTCATACTTTAGTCGATGATAATATAATTGTTGAAAAACCAGACAAACCCAAAGTCAGATGATTTCATTAGTGTTTAAGGTGTTCTTAGTTAGAACCATTCTTTATTTGTGATAACGTTCTCTTCCTCAAGCATTTTAAACACAATTCCTTCTGTACCACAAAGGCTTCCAAATTTTTTTCTGTACTCCACTGGCAAACACTCAGTAAGCTGCTTAATCAAATGCCCTATTAATGTATCATCCACTCCATGCTGATTGTCTGCGCTGAGTTAACTCTTCCAGATTCCTCATACACTAATTCAAGCATAATTTCTTGCTATGTAACTATATTATCTTTCACTGACTAAACTGTGCTTTTGAAAGTATTGCTACACTATGATTTTTCTTTGTACAGATGTTAAACTGACAGCTTCAGAGTTGCACTGAATAGTTTGACATTCATTTCGGGAGTAACAGTCATCTTAGTCCTCAGAAAAAAAGCATCTTATAAAAGAAATTCTAAACATAAAAGCTTTTAGTATTTTTTAGTACTTTTTGTCTGTCTTGTACTTTCCATCATGGTGGAGAATAGCTTTTAAAAGCAGTCTCTGGTGACTGTTAAGGCTTCTGACCACTCCTTCAGGGGGGTGATTCACCCCTGGCTTCTCTGGCTTTAGTGCAGCAGAGCCAACTTCCCTCAGCTGAGAATGGACCCCATGCCTGCCAAATGGAGCTTTGGGATAAATCTATAATTTGGGTGCTGGGGGTAATTTTAAAAAACTTTGGCCCTGGGGATTTCAGACTCCTCGACTGCAGAAGCCCACACTGAAGATTTGAGGCTCAACTGAAATGCACTGGCTCAGTGGAGCCACCAGAAACTATAAGGATGTGTCTCAACAGCTTGAGCTGAGAATTCATACTCCCACACTGGGAAATGTGACATTACCAGATTTGTGGATTGGGAACAGAAGGGAATGGCTAGCACCTAACGATTACTAGGCTACATGTGTACTGTGCCTTATTACTCCTGTGTTTGTAATGACTGGAAGAGTGCTAGAATTAATCTCTCTTCTTTATTGTTTCCCTGAAAAAAAGAACCAGTGGAATTGGAAATTGAAAGCATGTGTTACGTCATTTTTGCATTATATTTAACAAATTTGAATGGTGAAAGACAAGCATAGAACAGACTGTTTATATGAAATAAGCCTGGATCACATCTTGTGCTCCTTCGTGATGATGTTGTGCATCTTCAGTGCAGAAAACAAATGACTGGGAAGCAGTGCAGAGTGGGCTGCTGGTAGTCATGGCACTGCCTGTGGTCCTGCTCCAGAAACCTGGTAGCAGCTTTCTACCAAGCTCCACGGGCTTCTGCTCATGACATTGTGGTAATTGTACTCGAGTATGTTGGCTGCTTGGGAGAGGAGGATGCTGTCAAATTGTCTCAGTGAATGAAGAAGTCAGAAAAGTCATGGTTTATAGAACCTTTTAAACCCACCATGGTGGCCTGACCAAGCCTAGCCATGCCCCCTCTAACGCCATTGCAATATTCCTGTCTGCCATTAATCCGAACATAAGTCATGTGTGGTAACAGAAGAGCTGTCATTAGGGTTGGGTCAAAGTACCTTTGGAGCCTTTGCAAACAGATGGAAAATGTATTTTAATGATTAAAAAAACCAATGACAAGTCAAAAAGCAGCACTTTCTTCATCTACTTAGGTTCACACTGTGCCAGTTTTTTGGATTAGATTTTTCTTCTTTTAAGACACCATGAGTTTACTCAGTAAATACTGTTCTCAGTGCAAAGCATGGTGATACACATGAGCTTCATACATGTAAAGGTGCCTTCGAAGTACAAATACTGTGCACATTGTCCAGGTAGCAGTTTAGGAATGCCAGCCTCTCGTTGCTTTTAGTCTCAACAGGAAATATCAGTCTGTTTGTGTCAAAGGTGGGAAGCTAAAGCAATAATTCTGCTTTTTGATGACCACATGCCTATCTTTGTTGTCTATAATCTGTAGCTTGCACTTAAAAATAAGCTATCTTAAAGCTGACTATCCTCAAAGAATATCTTCATTTCAGGTCTTTCTCATGTACTTTCTAAAGCATGTGATGTACTGAGAACTTGTTTACAGCATGTTTGACATTTCTGAAATGAGGGTCAGTATGTCTTTGATTTTGAAAATGAGGTCTCTAGTTTGAGAGGCCTATCCATGTAGTAAAGGCATTACTGTGGCTGACTTAGTCTACTGTTCATGGCATTCTCTCAGATACCTCCTCTACTCCTTAGGAATTTCATGTCTCAGCCCCTGCAAAAACTGTATCTAAAAAACACCACCAGACTTGTTTTGAAACACTGAAAACATTTATCTTGTAGGAAACCTGTGATTAAAAAAGATGGCATTTAGACAGTCTATACCAGATTCTAGTTGTATAGGAGTAAATGAAATTTATTTCTTTTT